CCCCGACCCGCCGGCCCGCCCCGGGCTCCGGCCCCCAGAGGACCCGGCCCGCGCCCCGGGCTGGGCTGGGCGGAGGCAGGCTTTCCTGCGGGCGCCGGAGCGGCCACTCAGCCCGCCAGGCAGTTAGATTTGCATACCCAGAGCGTCCTTCCAGCCGGGAGGCGGTGGGTGTGTCCACGCTTCCGATGACACCTTTATTTTAAAGCTGGGATGCTTGAAGGCGAGAAAGGAGCTTAGTTGTCCTATTGTTTCCAGACGGCTTTGAATTTCAGGCGTTTCCTAATATGATAGGAAGCTCAGCCCTGAGAATACAATGGCGGGAATAACTGACCGGGACTTTCTGCCCGGTTTGGGTAGTGAAGAATTCCTCTGTTTTAAGAGAAACAGAAAGGTACCCCTCGTCAGGCCTATTTTCTCTTCCATGAAATGTATGGAAATACAGCTGGTCTCCGACCTTCTTAGCAGAATCCATTTTTAATGTAAATTCCACCCAAAGCACTAAGCGGAAATTAGTGGCAGAAATGGCAATGAATGGCTTTCTCTAGTCCCTCGTCTTACATTGATGTATTTGTAGGAGTTATACATTTTCATTTTTTAAAAGAGGCTTTTGTGCCTTAGGGCGCGTGCAGGCAGACAGACACTGTGAGAGGGAATGAAAAATCACCCCCCACCCCAGCGATGGCCACCTGCAGTCTCTTCTGGGATCTTGGACACCCGGGAGGAAACACATACCTGGTGTAATTTTCAAGCCACTGGGTCGGGGACTCAAACTACAGTCGGGTATGTCGGAGTCCAGAGATGTAACCACTAAGCTATCTGCTATCCCCTTTTCTATTTTTTTTTTTTAAGAATTATTTCAACTTGGGACCAGAAGTTGAGGTAAATGGCTATGTTGCTGGATTCTCATGTAGTGGACCGCAGTTGGAGTCCCAGACCCAATAGCTTAAACTCGCCTGCACATGTGCGTTCATGCACAAGATCCCAAGAGGAGAAGGGATTGTGGCAGCCATCACCCCTGGGCGGGGTGATTTCTCACTTTCTGTCTCTGTCTCTCTCACACGTGCCCTATAGCAAAATCCTCTTAAAAAAATAGAATTATTTTAACTTTATTTATTTATTTAAATTTGACCAGAGAGGGACAGAGAAAGAGGGACCGTGAGAAAGCAAGCTGCCAAGTCTAGTACTCAAACCATGGTCACCCCTGTGGGAGTCCACACCCTCAACCACCACTCCACCTGCCGCTGGCCCTTTTCTGTATTTATGGAGATGAGCACCATGTTTTGCTGAACACTTAAATCATGATCGAAGAGCCTCAGAGTTTGCAGAAATGTTTAAGAATACCATGAACAAAAGCTGCAGCAAGGCAATTTTCAAAATTGGTTGAAGCCATGATTTTTTAAAATGAATTACTTTATTTATTCATAAATTCATACGGGGGAGAGAAAGTGAGAAAGCAAGCTGCCAGGTCTGGGACTCAAACCGTAGTCAGCCATGTGGGAGTCCAACACCCTCAACCACCACACCACCTGCCGGCCCCTGAAGCCATGGTCTTACTTGACCTTGACAACTTTTCAGTTCATTTTATTATCTCAATTTTAAAGATAGAGTAAGGAGCAGCTTTTGGATCTTGTAACCAGTGATTCTGAAATCAGTCTTGAGCTTTAATAATATTAGCAGAAGAACAGAAGAAGCCAGAAAAACCAGGTGGTCCTTTGGGCAGTACAGTTTTCTGCTAAGGAATTTCTACCTTAGTTGGACCTGTATGGTGCCTTTTAGCCCGAAAACTAATTTGAGGACTCTTGGAATTCAACACTCATTTATTTAACTGAACAAATGTTGAGCACCTACTATGAGCTGCTCTGTGTTCTAAGGATATAGCAGTAAGCAAAACAGACAATGCCTTCTCTCACGGAGCGCCTTCTAGTGAGAGACAATAGAGAAGATGAATAGACAAAATACGTAGCATGATAGTAGTGAATGCTAAGGAAAGGCATACGTGTGTTAGATAGGGTAAAATTTTCCATTAGGATGGATGGCCTCACTGAGAAAGTAACATCTGAGGAAATGATGATATGAAGATTTGGGAAAAGAGTGGTCTACACAGAAGGAAAAGTAACGCCCAAAGGTGGGAACATGCCTGATATGTTAGGGAAGTTTGACTAGAGCAATTTAAGAAAGCAGGAGTGCAGCAGGCAGGTAGCGTGGTGGTTAAAGGCACTGGACCCCCACATGGCTGGCCGTGGTTCAAGTCCTGAATCTGGTGGCTTGCTTTCTCACTTTCCCCCTCTCTCTGTCTGATCAAACTGGAAAGTAACAATAATAATAAATAAAGTTAAACAAAATAATTATTTAAAAAGAAAGTAGGAGAGTCAGGTCTAGCAGATGGCATGGCGGTTAAAGCGCTGGACATACCCACATGGCTGACCACAGTTTAAGTCCTGGACTTAGTGGCTTGGTTTCTCACTCTCTCTCTTTCTCTGTGTGTGTGTCTCTCTCTCATTAAATTAAGATAAAAGAATGAATAAATAATTTTTAAACAAAAGAAAGAAAGAAAGCAGGGGAATCAAAGGGAATTGGGTCAGAGTTTGGGGATATGGGATATGATAGACCAGAGTATATAGGACCTCTTTGGCTATTGGACAGTTTTAGCTTTTACTCTTGAGTGAAATGGTATATTAATCAACTAAGATAGCTCTAACAAAAATATAGACTGGGTAACTTAAACAACAGGAATTAACCTTTGCACAGTTCTGGAGGCTAGAAAATCTGATATGGGGGAGGGTTGTGGGAGGGGCACAGCATGGTCAGATTCAGGTGAGGGCTCTCTTTTCAATTTGCACACAGCCGCCTTCTCAGTATGTCCTCACGTGGTGGTGAGAACTCGCTCTGGTTCTCTTCTTATAAGGTCATCAATTCTATAGGATCAGGGATCTACCTTTATGACTTTATTAAACCTGAATCATTTCCTTAAAGACCATATCTCCAATACAGTCACGTGGAAAGTGGAAAGATTGTTAGAGTTTCGATATATGAATTGGGGGAGGGGGTCACAGTCCATAGCAGATGGCAAATTGTTAGAATGTTTTAGTAAAGGAGTGATATGATCTGCCATATATTAGGTTGTTGGGGAAGTCATGAGATTGTCCTTTGTTTTTCTATGCAAAACTGTGTCATGACTTTCCACAGGACCCTATACTTCAAGAATCAATCTAGTTGCCTTGCTATAAATAGGCAGGGGAGTAAGTAGTGGGGGCAGAGAAAGAAGAAAGGAGATGTGTTAAGAGGGATTGCAATAATCCAGGAAGTGATGATGAAGCTCTGACCTTGGGGCATAGCATTAGAAATTAGGGGAAGTGGTTGAATTCTGGAGAGGCAGTAGAATTTACTGATAGCCAAAGAGTGGGAAAGAAAGAGAATCTAAGAGTTAAAGCTTGTGCAACTGGAATAATGGTATTGGTCTTTTCTGAGATAGAGGAGACAGGGAAAAGAGTGATTTTGGGTGGAATGACTATCAGGAGCTTAGTCTGAGAGATGTCTATTGAAGGAAACACACAAATGTATGATAATAATAATAAATAATAGTCATTCATATAAATGTGTCATTGCGAAATGAGAAGTTTTAAAGAGAGCAACATGGTACAAAGAAAATGCAAAGAGGGGCC